AAAAAAAAAAAAAAAAAAAACACATCTTAGTAAAACCAATACCTTCTCAGCTTCGCATCGAAGCTAATATAAAGACTTAATAATCATATAAATATCGTTTTAATTTTCAACCTTATTAAAATGAATATTATGATTTATGTCTTGAAATTATATTAATGATTTTTCAATATTTCTTACAGGTTATATTAACATTGGTTTTGGCGGTAAGACCGGCTACTAATTTAATTCGNTGGTTTTGGCGGTAAGACCGGCTACTATTTTAGTTCAGCTTGCGTACTACTCGGAAGCTTGACTATGTTTTTCATCGATTTGCATAGGAGAAACGTTGCTCGTCACAAACATAATGAATCTGGAACAAAACAGTTATGTGTGTCCACTTCATGTCTTCAACGACGTAAATTATCTTTTACTGTTGAACCGGAAGAAGTAATTGTTGTTGAACCTCCGCTAAATATACAAGGCAACATCGTAGGTATGGGACTACTTACACCAGGCGTCATTGGTCCTACCGACAAACCAGAACTCACTTGCATATCTGAAGAGGGCATCGCAGATATGGATTTACCAGACAACTTACTCGTTGATCTCGACTACATTGGAGATTGTATAATGTCCTGCAATAAGATGGAGAACTACTTAATGCTAAGCGAGTTCGAAAATAATTTGATTACCGAAATGCCGGTTATAATGGACCGGAAAGGACGACGATGGTCACTTGCCAATCAAGCCGAAGAAGAGACTCCGAAGGGTGGTAAATGGCGGCTAGTGGCTGGTCCTAACAATAGGCTGATAACTGTCATTGACAAAGCGTCCGTTTAAAACTATTTATATTGTGTAGATTATTTGATTTGTAATAAATATTTATTTAAAATATTATAATTGAACATTTCGTAATGTAATGTTGTGTTCATTTTATCTTTATTTTATAAATCAAAAGTTCCCATACTGCCTGTAGAGATGAATTACATTACGTTAAGTTTGTACATGCAAAGTATTTAATGTATTTATTTTAGTTAATAATTTCCTAGATGTTATTTTATTTATTTGTTGTATTTAAAATTATCTTAATAATTTATTATCGCCCATATGTTTTTAAACTTACCT